AAAAAAATATGGCATTGAATTTGAAGATGATTATGACTACATGCAGCATCTTAAGACTAGAACAGACTGCACACTTGAACCACTGCCTGAGAATGTCACAGTCATTGAAAATAAAAAAGAAAAGAACAAAGTCCAGGTAAAGGTTGATTRTAATGGAATATTGTTGATTGTTTTCTTCTGTCATGTATTTAGAAAAAGTATCCATTCTATACCTGCAAACCTCATTTTATCCCAAAGCATGACTATATAAGAACTGTACACGAGGTTCCTGTGTAGGAAAAAAGAGCACCAAAAGTGTTTCTGCCTGGAGTCTCATATTCAGTTCTTTTTTGAGTGGTTGTCAACCAAAATCTAAAAAGCAATTATTTCACTTTATTGCTCTCTTCCAGCCTTTCATCCTTTAAGTATCGTCAGTCAGTAAGGTTGCAGCATTCTTCTGTTCATCCTCACTTCCACATTTGTCCTTTCACTTATTTATCCACCCATTCATCTGTCTGCCCGTCCATCCATCTTTYCATTCATTTATCCATTTATCTATGCTTTCATTCTACTAAATGTTTATTCAGGTTAACAAGACAGTATTACAGCTGGATGGAATTTGTGTACAGTAACACCTTAATTTCTTCAGTTAAATGTGATCACTGTTTTTAATTTTTCAGTTTGGCAATTTAGARCTTCCATCTGAAGCCTTTGCATCTGCATATGAAGAGAGAGAAGGATTATTAAACTTAGCAGCACCTGCACCAGGCAYGTCAATRAACATTGTATTRAATRAGACATGTTTCTGTRGTTTGCTGACAYTTTGTTGTTTATTRATAGGTCCTCATCCAGAGTGGGATCCAGACGTTGTTGCTGCATTAGATGGAGATTTTGATGAAAATGATCCWGAAAATRTACTTGAAGATGACTTTTTTCAAAAGGTACTATTTGATTTACAAGATCTGATTTGTTAGCTTACTCATGGAGCTTTATCTTGTGAGCATTAATCAGTTTAGTCTAATGGTTGCATATTATGTGTCCTTACAGGCCAATTCATCTGTACCAGAATACAATGCAAGGTAAGTAAAAGTCCTTTCTATTTGCTACAACACATTCAACTAATTTGCATGTATGAATTTTTCAGTAGACTAGAAAAGGACTAAATAAACGTTGTTGTTTACTTAATAAAGGATCTTTGCTCTAAAACAAACAATAAGGACTGGAAAAGATTTCAAAGCTTGCCAATAATGTTTCTGTTCAAGAATTTCAATATTTGTATAAAAAAATCAATAATTTATTGTAGACGAAATAAAGATTTTTTATTAAAGCTAACAACAAATTTTTGTTATAGTCCTTGTTTAGTCTGCTTAATGATTTACACATGTCAGTGGTTTGTGCAAATGGATATCACATTTGATGTTGTCTTTTCTTTACAGTGATGATGATTTGATAAGAAGTGATGATGATGATGATGAAAGGTACTTTCCATCAGATGAAGGTGAAGACTGCAATAGCATGTCGGAAGGAAGTGGATTTTCATTTGGAAATGAAGAAACCAAGTCAAGATTTACAAGTTACTCGATGACATCATCTGTTATCAGAAGAAATGAAGGTAATGTATGCATCATGGGAAGGAAGAAGCTTCTTTACTCCCTTAACTTGAGAAATAGTTAGAAAGACAGCTGGCTACAAGTCTTTTTCTAGGGAATATTTTTGAACATTCTGACAGTTTTCCCTGGTTCCCACAAACTGTTACATTGTTGGTAATATAATAATAAATGTTATTTTTAGGTTTGACATTACTTGATGATCGATTTGAAAAAGTAATGGAGGAATACGATGAAGACGAGATTGGTGCCTTAGACCATGAAGAAATGACTGGTACTGTTGACCCTGATAGTCAGATATTGAATGCTTTGGCCGAAGATTTTGAGCATCATGTGCCGAAAGTGCAGTAAGTACTTCTGGGATCCCTGTGGTACACAAGTTGGGGCTCCTGTGGTACAACACAGGAAACCCAACAAAATGTATTGGTTTGTTTAGTTTTGCAGATGTAGATGGAACAAAGCAGGACAAAGCAAACACTTCTAGACAAGCAAAGAACAAAAGCAGTAGTGACGACAGCGATGATGATGAGGACATCATGAGGATAGATGTTACTCCAAAAGAACAGTGGGATTGTGAATCTATTTTAAGTACGTACAGTACATGCACTGAAGAAGATCTGAGAGCAGATCGAAATGTCTGAATAAAAAACTAAGCTAGAGACACTACATATATGTTTCAACGTACAGTACATATTCAACTAGACTTTCAACTTTAAAGACTTCGGACAAATGTCTGTCTTCTTTAAAATGGTCATTTCATAAGTGTCTTATTTGATGAAATGCTGTATTTTGTTTGTTTTCAGGTACATATTCTAACCTATACAACCATCCAACTCTCATAAAAGAAGCCCCTAAGGTAACAAGCACAAAGTAATAATGCGCAACATTTGAAATGTTAATTATGAACATTTCCAATGATACTTAGACTTTTCAACTCCTGGACATTGGAGTCCAAACCTGGAGATCTGCAAAAATGTCATTCAAATCAAGAGCATAGTAACAACCTCTTTATATTTGATTTGACAATCCCAAGTTGTAACAAAAAATGATAGTGATAGAGAGGGAGTACCTACAGGAAAAACATCGTACTGAATACATAGTGACATACCAAATATCCTATTTTGCATCGATTTCCCTAAGTAAGAGGTGCTTAGTCATGCAGGTTCAAAATTCATTAGAGTGAATTATTGGCTAATAACTTACTCCATTTTTCAGAACAAGTCTATAAAGCTCTCGACCAAGACAGGGATCCCATTAGGTGTAATTCCAGGAAAGACATCAGCCAAAAACAACAAYTGTTCAGAAGAYATGGATGTAGACATTGCTAAACAATGYACTGGTCCAAGACCCAAGCATGAAGATAAAGACGACAAAGCGCTGAGAAAACGTGCAGTGAAAGAACAGAGAAGGGTATGTATTGCTGTCACTTGAACAGCATCAYTWATCTTGACACCATTAAAAATCCTCTATTACATTACACATTATTTGGAGTTAATGTCATTTTGAAGATGCAGGATTTTCTATTTCTTTCTGTGAACCCTTATCTGACCTTCACTGTACCTCAAGAAACTAAACCCATCTACATCTAGACACAGRTGCATGACTGAAATGTCTGCAGCCATATCTGCGCAATATTGAAATGTGAGTAGGGGAGTTTATCATACCTTTATGTTTTGCAGGCAAGACGTGTTGAAAAGAAGTCAAACAAACTGACATTCAAGGCAGAGCAAAAAAGACAAGAACAATCTTTAATGAACACCAAGCATCARCAAGGACAGAAACTTTAGTAAAGCAAACAAATATGGGGTCATTCCACATGTYARGATTGTAAATGACACTTTGTAAATTCTTTTTAAAAGGGCAAGTGTAAATTTTCCATGCTGCAGTTCTTCCTGAAACAAARTCTTGTCCCGTTTTTTATGTACAGGTCAACACTCCTTTTAGACAGGATTTGGTTGTCATGTCGTATTCCTGTTAATACAGACTTCCAGTTGATAACATTCAATTAAAGTCAATATAATTTCTGTGAAGCTGAAGAACAATAATAGCAAAGACACTTTTTAACAACAAAATATATACAACAATCTTTATTATTTTGTACAATAGCTTCAAATCTTGCTATAAATTTATATTATTGCTTGAATATAGCTCATAGCAAAGGAGTTTTTTTAAGTTGCCTTTTGTTTGGTTCTCCCTAATAATCTTCAGAGTGGAGTTTTGTTTGTTGGCTGGGAAAGGAGTATACCTTTCCTGATAAATACTGTGTTATAATGATTTTCAATGGAGATACATATTTGCATAAATTTAAATTATATTTCTCTCCTGTCTTTCATCACTACAATACATCTTCTAAGTGATGTGTAGAGATGGGGCAAAACCATCAATATATGAAGTTCCTTCACCGTCTTTTGTTGTCTTTGATCACTACGACATATCTTTGAGGGACRTGTAGTGGTGGGGCAAAACCATCAGCATATGAAGTGTCTTCAAACGATACAAGATAGTCATCTTGTGGCTGACAAAGAAAAAAAAAACAAAGTTCATATAAATAAATATCATGAATATGAAGATAAGAACAACAACAAATGTACCCTGGAYGGAGGTTCGTGGATAACAGCTTTGTAGAAACATGTTGTTTGTGGATACAGAGCCATAACAACCTGGGAATATAAATATATATACATGAAGTTTAAAGCCTTAGTCTATGTACTGTTCAGAATTTTGGTTTGATGATAGACATGGATCACAAGAAATAAAAACAATGATTATCCATAAAATACCTGATCCTTTTGGAACAAAGCACTAGGGTGTGTCAGAGGATTTGCCTTTTGTTTTGGTAGAGGTATTACTCTGCGTCGACTAAGGTGATGACGTCTACATCAAATAATCCATAAAATTTATACATTATAACATAATAATTAATCAAACCAAAACAAGTATTTCTCACTCTTTGCCATTCTTCCCTTCTTCATCTATATCATCAACATCATATCTGCAGTCAGTTAAGGAAAACTCTAATAAGCTTATTTTTAACATAGCAAATTTCATTTGTCCAATTGATATTTCCACTGTATAATAAGACTTTGTTTACTGTGATAAGGATACTTATTGGATGATGAATTGTATGAAACAATTTCAGCTAATATCCACTGTTCTTCACCATCGGAAGTCTTAACACGGGCAGCAACCTGAAAGAGAGAATACTCAAGTCACTAATTATGCACTTGTAATTGGTGTATAAGCGTTAGAATAGTCTGCAGATCAGCTGCTCATATACTTAACAATTAGACTTCAAGGTTAAGTGGACTAGGACTTGATTGTATGAACTATAAACTATAAGTTCTTTAAGTTCTTTTGCATTGAAACAGTCACATAGTACTAAATCCACCATGCTGGACATCAAAAATACCCACTGGGATGTTCAAAACAAAGAAAAGTCAAGCTTGACGGCTATGTTCCTTTTGTTTYTGAGATTGTTTACWTTCTTTTACCATCCAGATTGGTGGAATTAGTACTATGTGACCATTTTATGCAAAAGGCTTACTCACAAGACCAGGAGCCAAAACAATGCTTTGCTTTACAAGAGTTTATTTATCTAGTAATATTAAAATAGAAGGTCACTTGTCTTACGTGATCTCCTGGATGGGCAACATAGTTATTTTCAGCTTGAATTGCACCACAAAGTGGAGGTGGACTAAGGAGAAAAATGGTTGAAATATGACCATAACAAATCATTTAATACAGTGATATATAGGTACTATAGTGTATTATATAGTATATGATTACCTTTCTGATGACTTGCCTATCATCATTGGTAACTGGGAAGCTGCTTGCTGTAACATTGTCATTAGAACTCCACGTCGCATTGCTTTCCTAAATTTGTTAATAAATAATACTGGAAATGACTTGCTATAAATTACACAAAAATTCTCATATTTTATTCGTAATTTCTTGATTTCTTATTTTAGTCTTTTTCCATATTTTGAATATATTTATTTTTGAATATTTTTGCATTTATTTTTCTTCTCAAACTTCATTCAATCCATTTTAGTATAAAACTTTCTTATCTTTAAGTCTTAATTTTTGCTTAGTATTCAATTAAATTGTATGATCAAATTGGAAGGAGAAAGGTCCCAAAACAATAGAAATGACTAACATACATAAAAAGTTTCATTCCGACATATCCTATTGCTCTGACTACTCACCTTGGTTCACCAGACTCTTGGCTTCTACTGACTCCACTTCTCCCTGCATAGAAATACTTTTATCTTAAAAGTAGTTTCTTACTAAGTTCATTCAAAGTAATTATCAGAACAAAATTAATCATGATTCCAAAGTAGCTGCAATGTAATATACAGTAGAGTGATCGTACTTATCCGTGCAACTGTACAAACTAAATAGTGATGTTTAGGTGTATTTAGTGAATCATGAATGCGATACGCAAATTAAATTGAATCGTTACAAATGAAGCATTCAATATCGTCTTGCTTCAGGTCCACTTTTAGTACAAATAAGTATTACTTAGATTTTGTACAGTTGCACGGATTCAGTGCGTTCACTCTAATAGCTAGCCTATCAAAACTATTTTCAATGAACCAAAAGCTAACTGAAGTAAAACAACAACAACGAAATTATATTTGATAAAAACAAGAAATACATGCTAGATTCTTGCAATGCGCTACTGACCTATTCTCCTGTCATTCCTCAAAGCTTTGATAATAGCAATCTTGTCCAAGGCCTTCCTGATAATACTGTTAATAATATTAAATAATAATTATTAACCCTAGCCGAGAATTTTCATTTGGTAGGGAAATAAAGCAAAAAAGGAAAATAATCATATCTTGCTCCGCAGTCCCTGTATCAAGTWGTGGAAGCAACACTTGTCAATACATACTCTGCTTCAGCTTGAGCATCTGAGGTTGCAGTTTTGTATAATCCTCTTAGTTTTGTCTTGAAGTATGAAGAAACTGTAAGTAAATAGGATCTTCAGATACAAAATAATTAATACGTAAACACAAAACCAATGAGTACAATCAATTTTAATACATCCCTCCCAGAAGAAAAATGATACAACTGTAGATTTATGGATTGCTTCACAAAAAGACTGGATCAGAGGTATCAAAAGTAGTTTTCTCTGTTAAGGTAACTTGAAAAAAATCTGAGACTTTTGGTTTGGGGGCTTTTTCTCTGTTCTGATAATCTTGCCAGAGTAAGAACTTGTACAGAGARATTTTTTCCCTGCATTTTACATTCCCCTCTCCCTCTATACAGCTCTTTTCAAGGGCGAAAGAAGATTTGTGTAAGTTAAGATCGCCGGAGTACCTTTTCCTTCTGACTTCATCTTCTCGTGGGTCTTTTCGATATTACTTATATTATGCTCACTTCTGTTTCTTTCTTCCTAAAAGAAATTTCAAGCCAAGATATAAACAACTTGGAGAGCATATTATGCTCTCCAAATATTCCCTTATTGTAAGTTTAATTAATATATTTATAACTACGATTATACAGTTAACACAGCATAATGTCATTGTGGTAATCGTGATAATAGAAACATGAAAATAATTCCTTTTACTTATGAATTTGATAATGATTGTCACTATGACTATTTGGCAGGAGGGGGGTGGGAAGGGGGTTGGTTTAAACGTGACATATACTTTATGATTATGTTTTGGGTTATGATTATGCACCAGGTTTTATCATTTCCTTTTAAATGATCTACAAAATTGAATTTCTGCAATGCCAATAAAAAGTTACTTTATGTTTTCYTTCAGTTTTACCTGAATTTGTTGTACCAAAGAATGAAGTTCTTTCAGGAGCGAAGGAACCGTGTTGTTGTTACTGGAATTTGCTGAGCTTGAAGAAGAACTTGTTCCACCGGAACCAGAACTCGAACTAGTCGAAGTGGTGTTAGATGGGCCCCTAGAACGACGCATTTTGTATTTTCTGTATAATCTTTATTCGTCGGCCATTTTCTTTAGTGAGCTCGGTAAGTGATCGTGTGTGTTACGAACWCGCGATAAATTACGACGTGATGACGGAAATTTCCGAATAAGCGTTCGGGTTGACGATCCCTTCCCCAGATTCCCCAGTCTCCCGGTTGTCAYTTATTCTGGTTCTCAGTTTGATGACAGACACAAGAGTGGGAAATATGATCTTCGCTCCTGGGTTATTCTTAATTGGAGCATTCTTGTTCCCGGTCAGCCACATATTGATTACATTCTTWCTAAAGTTTGTCTTGAAAGATCTAAAATATGTGGACCGATTCAGCATCAGTACAAGGTTTGTTTTGGATTTGAATTGAAAGCGTCATGCAGCAMTTTCCGCGAGCCATGGAAYAGTTCTTGTGTTTTCACTAATAATTAAACTGGAGTCTACTGACTATCCTTTAGRATTGTTTCTGGTTTACAAGCCATTGCTGCTGCAGTTGTTGGTCTCTTAGGTGCTATTTCTTGCGAGGACATCATGAAGGACAGGTAATTCAAAGTTTCTTGACAATTTGAGTTTCTGGCTGGTTTAAGCTTAACTTGACTGTGAGTTGTCACTAGAGCTATGTCGATATCTTCATGTGCAAGCTTTCAATGCAAACATTTCGTAATTGGCAAGTTTTTTATTGAGTATTCAATTCGTTGATTGAAGTTTATGGAATTTACTAATAACTTACCGAGAAAATATTTTCGGTTCTTTATTTTTTTGACAGGTGTTTCAAACATTCCCATTCATATAACGAAGCGTATACTACTAGTCGAAACAAAAATCAATTCCGACGCTGCCTTTGTTTGCTTTGTTCTGCTATTTCCCACGCTGTTTGCATTTACTTTTCTTCGTTTTGGCTCAGAATTATTTTTCGGTAACTTGAAATATGATTCGCGTTTGATGGTAGCTTCTAGAAAGACGCAGGGTAAATACTTAGTAGGACCCAAAAGTGACATTTACATTAAGGAGATTATGGCTGATGACTTTCTCTAAGCTCAAATCAGTTAATCGTTGATTTGATTACCCCTCTCCATTAAGCGCAAATGTCCATGAATAATCGCTTGTAAAATAAAAAGTGGCTACAAATTTCAAATATATTTTTGTCACATAACTAAGTGCATCAGGAAATGAAGTCGGTGCTTTGCATTATTGAAAGAAATCTCCCCAGATTTCAGAAATGCGCGAATCT